AAAAAAAATTCGCACCACAAAAAAAAAAAAAGAGTTAATTACGTGAGGTGATGGATTGTGCTAATTCCACAGTGTATGTACATCACATCACCACATTGTACACTTGAAATATATATAATTATATTTGTCAATTATTCCTCAATAGAGGCAAAAAAAAAAGAAATTAACACCAAAGGGAAACACTGTCCCCCCTAATTTACTCTTTCAACAAATATTTATTAAGCACCTACTTACAAGAGATGCGGGAGACAGAAAGTAAACAAGAGGGCTGTGGCACCTGCCCATCGCCCAGGCTCTGACCAGACACGCTAAAAACCAGGAGATCAGCTACAGGGCCCACTGGCCCCCACACACAATGTTCCGGGAGTGTGACCCCCTCACCTCTTCCCTCAGGGGCGGGAACCTTGGCTCTCTTCTTCAAGTGCCTACAGACGCACCTTTCAGAATGGTTCACCCCATAATCAAACCAAAACACAATAATTATATTCTGAATAACAGGACTCTCTTTCTTCAGATATTGACTGATTTACAGAGTAAGGAGTTGAAAAAAATCTCTAAAATCCAGGTTAAAAAAATGATGAAACTACTGATAGTTTAAAAAACAGCAATGTGAGGGGCCGGCCCTGGGGGCACAGTGGTTAAGTTCGTGCACTCTGCTTTGGTGGCTCGGGGATTGCAGGATTGGATCCCGGGCACGGACCTACACACTTCTCATCAAGCCATGCTGTTGCGGCGTCCCACATACAAAATAGAGGAAGATGGGCACAGATGTTAGCTCAGGGCCAATCTTCCTCACCAAAAAAAAAAAAAAAAAAAGCAATGTGAACATACATAATATCACTGACCTGTACACTTTAAAGTAGTTATGATGGTAATTTTCATGCTACGAGTATCTTACCACAATTTAAAAAATATAAAACAATACCCCACTACTTAGGATCGCTCAGGTTCCCAGGATGTGGCCTGGGGTCCACACCCATCAGAGAGCCTAGAGGTGGCAGTCTCCATGGGGTTCGTGACCCCAACACAATTCTCTGCCAACTCTCTAGGGCAATGACTTTTTCTCATTGATGTGAGGTTTTAAAAGATATGATTCAGTATTCCCAAAAATTAACACTTCACCTTGAAACATAACCATAAAAAGATAATCAAATAACAAAATCTCTGCTTACCTCTTCGTACATGCGTGAGAAGACAATTCCACTGAATTTCCAGAACTCTGCCCAGAAGTCTGAATATGACTCAACTGACCAGTGGTATAAGTCATCATAATTTTCTAAAAATAAAATAAAATGGCACATAGCTCAGATAAAACTGGGAAGGAAAGTCACGGCAGTTCAATAATAAAATGGACACACCTAAGGAATTACAGGTGTAACAAAGGGGTTCGAAGGCATCTGAGGAGAAATGGTCTTGGCAGTGGGGGCACGGTATCTGAATTTTTACTGAAGCAAACACAGCACTGCTAGGCCCCAAAAGGAACAAGAGCGACGAGGCGTGATTCTGTATCTTAACCAGCATGCCAAAGAACAGGGACTCTGGAGCCAGGGGCCTCGGTTCAAATCCTGGCTTGGCCATTTATTAGCCACACGACCTCAGGCAGGCTACTTAAGCATGCTGTCTCAGTTTCCCCATCTGTAAAATGCAGAGAATTGATAGCACCCCCCCTTCATAGGGCTACTGTGAGGACTTACATGAGCACGTGTATAAAACGCTTAGAACAGGGCCTGGGACATAATCAGAACTATAGTAAGAGTTCGCTATTATTATACCATCCAAACTCAGGAAACCTACATTGGATAGATTTGAAAACCCAGAAGTTCAAAACTGGAAGCCTGTTGAGGACTTCTCCTGCCAGTACAATGTTGTGAGGGGTTTTTTGGATTATCTATTTTGATTTTTCAGTAAGCAATGCATTCACATGATTCAAAGTTACAGAAGTATAAAAGGTTATATAGTAAAAAGTCCCCCTCTCTTACCCCACAACCATCTAACTTTCCTTGCCCAGAGGTAACCAGTTAAAGAGATTTCTTTGTGTCTTTCCAGAGATTTTATGTGTGAGTAAATACATTCCTCTCTCCGACTTTCACACAAACGGAAGCATGCTCTTCACACCAGGTTCTAATCCTGGGACCTTGGGAGAGTCCTGTCTCCTCTTTGGGCCTTTTTAATCACAATACATTGTCAGCAGGTTATACAGTCACATGCTGGGCTCCAGGGATACGATCACAGCCAGGTCACAGCAGGATCACAGCCGGACGACGACCAACAGCACAGAAAAAAATGGCATAATTCAATGGCTGAGCTCAATTCTCTCACTGTCCTCGCTGTTCCCAGCCCTGAAGGGTACACAGAGGAAGAGACACAATGATCCCTGCCCTTTAGCTGTGTCTCTTCTCGCTGTGGCATCCAATAGTCGTCCTCAGGTAAGCTGGCCTCAGGAGCCAGAGGAGAGTGATCGCTGGGAGCCAGGCAGCAAGGTGGGCCGAGGAAGGAGGGGGCCGGCCCGGGCAGCGAGGGCAGGGTTAGGACACGGGAGGAAGCCCAGAGCCCAAGTAAAGAGAGCTGGAGTGAGCGGGTGCACGGCAGAGATGGAGAACGATCAACCCGAATGAAGTGGGGAGAGTTGGCCCAGAGGTCGCACAGCCTTGATGAGGAGACAGATGGCAGCTTAGGGCTCCGGGTTTAAGAAAGAAAGGGAATCCAGGGGCCGGCCCCGTGGCTTAGTGGTTAAGTGCGCATGCTCCGCTACTGGCGGCCCGGGTCCGGATCCGGGCGTGCACCAACGCACGGCTTCTCCGGCCATGCTGAGGCCGCGTCCCACATACAGCAACTAGAAGGGTGTGCAACTATGACATACAACTATCTACTGGGGCTTTGGGGGAAAAAAAAAAAAAGGAGGAGGATTGGCAATCGATGTTAGCTCAGTGCCGGTCTTCCTCAGCAAAAAGAGGAGGATTAGCATGGATGTTAGCTCAGGGCTGATCTTCCTCACAAAAAGAAAGAAAGAAACAAAGAAAGGGAATCTGAATCATAACAGTGATGCCAGCACTCCCCCCCGCCCCACCCCATATACTCAAGCCAGGGGCCACAGGCCAAGTCAACCAAGCATGCAGGGACACTGTGTCTGGAAAGCTGGGGCCAGCGCTGACTCTAGAGACCAAGCTTGGGGACCTCAGACAGGCCACTTTGCCTCTCTAGGACTCAGTTTCCCTTGTGTGTCACCTGGAAACTGTTGGCCCTGGATCCTCCTGTGACAGTGGAGAGCTAACCCTGCCTCCAGGGCCAGGATGGATGACCTGCATTAGAATCTCAGCTCTGCCACTTTCTAGACGAGGACCTTGGGCAAGCTGCTTCACCTCTCAGCCTCAGCATTGTCATCTGTCAAATGGGGATAACAACAGCTGCTCCTTTAAGAAGCTGTGCTGACCAAATGCGTAAAGATACATGCACCCCTGTGTTCACTGCAGCGTTATTCACAACAGCCAAGACTTGGGAGCAACCTACGTGCCCATCAGGGGACGAATGGATGAAGAAGATGTGGTATATATATATACACAATGGAATACTACTCAGCCATAAGAAACGATGAAATCCAGCCATTTGTGACAACGTGGATGGACATTGGGGGTATAATGCAAAGTGAAATAAGTCAGAGGGAGAAGGTCAAATACCGTATGATTTCCTTCATTAAGTAGTAGATAATAACAACAATAAACAAACACATAGGGACAGAGACTGGATTGGTGGTTACCAGAGGGGAAGGGGGGAGGGAGGAGGGCGAAAGGGATGATTAGGCACGTGTGCGTGGTGATGAATGGTAATTAGTCTTTGGGTGGTGAACATGATGTAATCTATGCAGAAATAGAAGCATAATGATGTACACCTGAAATTTATACAATGTCATAAACCAATGTTACCACAATTAAACAAAAACGCAGCAGCTGTGGTGAGGACCCATCGAGCACGTGCGGAAAGAGCACAGGCTCCGAGCTCGCCTGGCCGGGTTCAGATCCCGCCTCTCTAACTGCAAGACCTCAGACGAGGAAGGCCTCTTCTCTGGGCCTCAGTCTCTCTCTCCATAAGGAAGATAACAGTCCTTGTCACAGAGTCACTGTGCGGACTGAACAAGGCGAAACACTGAAAGCACGAAGAACGGCGCATGGCAGGGGGAAAGTGCCCGAATGTGTCAGCCACTCTCCCCACTCCTCACGTTGGGCAGGAGTGGGACACACACTGGCCACCTGACGGTGCAGGAGGCGCTAAGACATCGAGACAGGGATGCAGGACTGGACAGTGCCAGGAAGCAGGAGACGCCGTGTCCTCAGTCCAGAGTCCAGAAGGAGGGCGGCGCCGGCCCGGGCGGTTTCTGGGAGAGGCGCTCCGATGCACCTGTGGGGAGCAGGACTAGACGAACAGGCCCCTCGGCTCCTCTCTCCCACAGCCTGTTTCTCCTTCTTTACTCACCTCGCTCCTCACAAATCACGGAGTTCCAGCACCAAAAACTCCTCCAAGCTGATACGAGACGGAGCAGAGGCCCGAAATCCTGGCCTCTGCTGGAGACCCCGAAAGCCCCTCACCAAGTCCGTGACCAACAGCATCCTCGAGAGAGGAAGATGTAACCGCCTGCCCAGCTGGGGAATGAGCAGTCACAACAGCACAGGGACCCCAGACGACTCGGACAATGGGTGGGCTTTGTGCAGAAACTACCCCCCGCCCCCGCCGCCGCCACCAGCTCGGCCAAGTCAGCGAATATGGTTCTTCAGATGCGCAGAGCCCCCTTCAGGCTTCTGCTCACAGGCTGCAATCCAGAAAAGAAGACGACCGACCACAGGCATGTTTGGTTCAGTCTGCACAGAGTTCATAAAGACTCAACCGAACTAGCTGCCAACATCTTAAAACCACAATTTTCAAAGGCAATTCAAGACTTCTGGTTTCTCCTGAGGAAAGAGAGCACCTGGCTGTGGGAGCCAGCCAATGATTCTCACCTCCTGGCATTCACGTCCCCGTGTTGTCCCTCCCCATACCTCGCAGGGCGGATCTGTGTAACCAACAGGATGTCATGGGAATGACTGAGTATGACTCGCGAGGCTGGGTTCATAGGAGATACTCCCTCTGCACGCTGCTCCCTCGGATCACTCGCTCTGCGAGAAGCCAGGGGCCAGGCCCTGAGGACACTAAACAGGCCTCCCGCCCACAACCAGCACTGACTCGCTGCCACGTGAGCCCGTCACCTGGAAAGGCTCCTCCAGCCCCTGTCACACCTTCAGATGATGCCGTCCCAGCTGACAACTGGACTGTAGCCAGCCTCATGAGGCCCCGAGCCAGAACCACCGGCTAAGCCCCTCCCACACGCCTGACCCCCAGAAACTGAGCGATACTGCATGTTTATCGTTGTCTGACGTCGCTGAGTCCTGGGGTAATTTGTAACGCAGCAACAGATAACTAACGCACTGTCGCACCACACAGCGACAATCAGCTAGCGCTGGTAACGGCTGCCCCGCCCGGCTCTTCGCCCACACGTGAGAGGCAACATAACACAGTAGTTAAGAGCGATGATTCTGGAAACAGACTACGCCTCCACCACCTACAGCGGTGAGATCTCAACCAAGACTTTGAGCTTCCGTTTTCTCAGCTGGGCAATGGGATAAAAGCAGCATCGACTTGGCAAATTACTAAGGATTAAGTTAGTTAATACATGGAAAGTGCCCAAGTGGGGCCAGCATGTGGAAAGAACTCACTAAGTCATAACTGTTATCAACATCTCTGTCACCTGTCTGGTCCCTGTAGGCGTCTGAGTTCACAAGCCTGCTTCCCACTTCAGCCTCTCCTCTCCACCTATGAGAACTGTGACCAGCCTCCACCTTCGAATCTCAGCTCAAGATGTGGCCGGCCCCTTTAAACCGCCTTCTCTGACAGAGCCAGCACAGCGCAGTGCTCAGAGGGCCGACAGCACGCTGCCCTACGCTGGGTGCCCAGCACCGACTCAACTGAAGCGCTATCTTTCCAGGAGCTTTCTCCCCCAACTACACTCAAGCCCTTGGAGAGCGGAGACCAAGCCCTCTATTTGCTGGCAAACTCTATCCCAGGTGCTGGACACAGAGGGGATCTGGGCTCGTGGCCTACGGAAAGACCCCTAGCACAGACCTCCAAGAGAGCACGTGTGAAAGCTGGGGTCACTCCCCTAACTACACAGGCTGGTACACACAGCACGTCCCCCAGGGCCCTGCGCAAGAGGCCTCACATCACAGGCGCGTAGGCTGGGCAGGAGCCACAGGCTGCTCCCAAGGAGGGCTGTGTCCAGAGGACCCCAAGGTCTCTGTGGGTGTGCAGGGAGTCCTCAGGTGACCTCTGCCAGAGCAGTGACAAGAACCAGCCAACCCATGGCCCTGAGAGTAGAAAGAGGATGTGTGACTCCACTGAGGCCCTGCCCTTCCTGAGTCACAGGCATAGAAACCTCACGCTGACCTTGGACGTTGGTCTGGCTTGTGGAGACGCAGCCAGGCTGGGGAACGCCCCCCATCCATCCATCCATCCTCAGAGCTGGAGCCAAGCTGAGGGGGCCTGGAGGATGTGTGCCTTCCCTCTGTGCATCCAGTCAACAGCATCACTCCATACTGTATACCAGCCGCACGCAAGCCACTGTTGGGGGCGCAGAGGATCCAAGTTCCAGGGCATTGTCTTTAGGCAATAAGAATGCCCAGAAATAAATGAAAAGGCAAGGCAAGATGAAAATCCAAGTTACATGCACTTGGAGAGTGGACGGAAGGAGAAAACTGTCCAAGAGACTAACCAAAGAGAAGGCAGCGTGTGAGCTGGGTCTTAAAGCAAAGCCTCAAACCTCTAGGGCCGGGCCTAAGGAAAGGAGAGAGCAGGTGGGGTCACCCATCAGGAGTGCAAGAGGAGGAAAAGGCAAGACCCAAGCTCTATACGACCCCCAGACCAAGAGAGGAACCCCGCTCAGCTCAGCCGACTGCTGTCATGTGGAAACACAGACCCAGCATCAGAGGCCTTTGGGTTTTCAAAAGAAGTTGGAAATCTTGCTTGTCCTACGCAGTCTCCCAGTGTGTGAGCCGCTGAACTAAGTCTGCAGGTGCCATCCGGCCCATGGGCCCACCAGTCCACATGCCTCGAAAGACGCAGAGGTCAGCAGGCAGACGGCGAGCTACCAGTGCTCAGTGGTGTTTACTCAGCAACCCCCACAGGCCGGGTATAGGTGAGTGCTGGGCATGATCATCTCCTGTCACCCTCACACCCACCCATGATCCAAGTCCTCTCATTATGATACAATGATCTTCTCGATGATACAAGCCCATTCTCCAGATGAGCAAACTGAGGCTGCAGAGCCCCAGGGAATTCTTCCTGATCACACAGCTAGGAGGTGACGGAGCCAGTTTAAAATCCAGGGAGTCAGATTACAGATCAGTGTCAGCCACCTTACAGGGCTGCCCGTATGTGAGAGCATTACATAAGGCATCAGGACTGGACAAGCACCATTACTGCTGGCAGAGGAAAGAGACGGAATCGTGGCAAGGTAACAGAAGAATGTTCCTTGGGGCTCTTCTTGGGGATCAAGTCTGTTCTCTCCCAATCCAACACACATTAACTGACCAACTACTACCTGACAGGCCCCGAGAGTCATAAGACCACACCTGTCTCCAAGGTGCCCACTCTGAGTGAGCAGGAGGGAGGGAGAAGGATAGAGCTGGGTTAGTCAAGGGAAGCAGCTCAGTGGAAGGCTGTGGAGGCCTGGAAGCTGCCAGATGGCACCGTTTGCAATTCCAGAGTCAACAAGGAGCCACTGTGAGCCAAGGAGTGACAAAGTCAGACTGCTTCAAGTTTGCTCTGGCAAACCAAGCAGGATGCACTCGACAGGGGACGGAGGAAAAGCAGGAAGCAGGAAAACCAACCAGTGTTCAGGGAAGAGGAAGGAGGGCCAGGAGGAGTGCTGGCCCTGGGGTGGAAGAGGGAGACAGAAGAAGGCAGTGCTGCGAGGTGGACGTCCCTGCAAGGCAGGTGACCCGGCGCTCCATTTCCGTGAGGCTGACTGAGGACGGTGATGTCAACAAGAGAAATACAGGAGTCCCCAAAGCCAGCTGAGGGGGTGTGGAGGGGAGGAAAAGGCCACAATGGGTTGAAGAGCCCTGAGGGGGATGCTCCAGCAGGTAGTGGACAAGCCAGTTAGAGGTGGGGGAAAGCATGGGAAGAGCTTCTCACCCAGAAAAGGGGCCTGCTCTGCCCAGCCCACGCCAGCCAGAGGGCTCCTGAGGGCCAGGCGGTGGCTGGCAGGAGGGCCCTAGACTAGGTTCTGTTTGGGGCTGGCAGTCTTGACATGAGGGGAAGGAGTTCCGCCCCAATCCCAAAGGAAGGCTCCTCCCTGACCATCCTCCTCCTGGGTGCCGGGAATTCCGTGCTGGCCTTCTAGCAGGGTCAGCCGGGGCCGCCAGGACAAGGCACTATTGCCTGGCAAGTGACCCCCACAGAGAGGAAGAGCTGAAAATCAGAGAGGCCCTACCGTGAGGAAGCTCCCCAGGCTGGAGAGCAAGACCCCAGGGAGCACCTCACCTCACAAGGAGGAACGCCTAGCAAGGGACCTCCCAGTCCACAGGAGCTCCAAGGCCAGAGGGGGGACCCTCCCAGGAAGAGGGGAAGTCTCCCAGGGAGACATGCTGCAGTAAGGATGCCGCCAGCCTGAACTCAGAGGTGACACCCCGCACAGAGAAGGGGCAAAAGCCCCCAGTAAGAAGGTGCCCCACCCCCTGGATTGGGGCCCCCACGTCCAGTTTGCCTCCCAGAAGAGGGAAAGCGGACCAGAAGACCGTTCCAACAACCAGGAGGGGCCCTGACGGCAGCGCCCGGGAAGAGGGGCACCCCGGCCCCCAGGAGGAGGGCCCCTCTGCCAGGCGGTCTCTCGGACCCGAGGGGAGCCCGATTTCAGGGCCGCTGGCCCGGGCGGCGGCCGGAGCCCCCGGGGGGCCGCGCCCACACTCACCGAGCGCCAGGCCGCAGGCGGCGCCCACGGCCGCCCGGAAGCGGTCCATCTGCGTGTCCTTCTTGCTGTCCGGCTCCCACACCACCTGGCTCTCCAGGATCTCCCCCCGGCCGGGCCGCGGCTCCTTGGACATGGCTGCGGGGTCCGGGGCTGCGCGGGCGGCGGGGAGCAGGACGCCGGGCGGCGGGCGGAGGCGGCGGCAGCGAGAC